CACAGAAGGCAATGACGTCACAACCGCAGGCCTCTGTGAAACGTCATCCAGGGCCTGAGGCTTCCCTCAGAGCCTGGCGAATCTCCTTGGCCACAGGAAGCCTCTTGGGAGTTCCTGCTGTGTGGGGCACTCCTGGTGGAAAAGGTCCCAAGCGGGTGGCAGTGGGGTGTGCAGGTGGTTAAGGGAGGGCTGGTTCCATCATGGGGATTTCTGGGGTGGCCCTGGAGCCCGGATGTGTAGGGAGGGTCCACAGCCCAAAGTGGGGGCCTGAGGGGGGGTGAGAAAGCAGAGTTTAGGAGGCTGAAGGGGAGGAGGACGAGGGCCTGGGGAAGAGGCCCATTACTCCTCCCCTTGAGTGCTGCTAAGAGCGTGTTTGCTTCTGTTCAAGCACTGTGTGGTTGTGCTTCTCTGTCAATCTAATCCAAACAGACTCATGAAGCCCAAGACTGACTTGAGAAGAGCAGTGCGTTGCTTGCTGTACCGAGTACTGAAGAGATGAGGCAAAGGAAGGATTCTGAAGGTAGAAATGAGAATTACATAAAATATGTTTAAAGTCTAGCCACGTTAATTAATAACCATGGTGAGTGACCATGGTGACATTAGTCAAAGGTGGCCCAGGCAGTTCCTGGGCAGTTAGTTGTTGCAGAAGTACTTTTTGGAAGGTTGTTTTTTCAATCTGGTCATGTGATTATGGTGGTCTCTTGACATCTGCTATCAGGCAGTTAAGTAGAAGAACCTTTTCTGCATAACTTCCTGACTTTTAAAAATACAATTGAAGAGATTTATTTATTTTTATTACAAAGTCAGATATATACAGAGAGGAGAGACCGTGAGAAACATCTTCCATCTGATGATTCACTCCCCAAGTGAGCGCAACGGCTGGTGCTGTGCCAATCCAGAGCCAAAATATATGGTAAGGTAGGCACAGACTGGTTTTTATGCTAACAACTTTAACATTCCCTTCATAATTTTTATGATTTTCTAAAATAAATGTTGAAATTTAAAAAAAAAAAAACCAAGTAGACAACTTATTAGAGAAAACCTTTGTAATACATTCATAAATTGTTAATGTAGTCATAAGACCCCACACTGCCCTGTCATATAAAGATAGCCACCAAGTCACTTAGTTTGGCCTGGTTTTGAACTCTATATAAATATAAATCATATAGTATGTAACCTTGGTATGACCTCTTTTGGCAAAAATTTCTTTTTTGAAATTAATCAATGTCATACTTGCAGCTTATGTATCAGTGTTGTTAACGGACGTTTGTTTCAGCCTCAGTCTATTCAGAATAGTGCTACATGAAAGTTCCTGCGTCTGTCTTTTACTCTACATGTACATATCTTGCTTGCATATATACTCAAGACAGCAAGTGCTGCATCATAGGTAAAACACATATTTAGCTTTAGAAGGAATCAGATCTTCAGAATTGAGTCAAAAGGGACATACAATGTTAATACGTAAGGAAAATAAGACAAAAACTGCCATATTGAGAAAGACTGCACCTCTTCCCCAGTCAGATCCCTTGAGAGCCTTTTCTGGTATTCAAAACAATTTTTCACAGGAAAGGAGAACAAAAAGTAAAAATAGAAAGTGCTATTATATTTTATAATTTGAGAACTGAGTCATTTTTCTAAATTTCTAAAAAGTCATTCAGTTGGGGCCTGGCGCAGTGGCCCAGTGCCATAATCCTTGCCTTGCATGCACTGATGAGCATCGGTTCTAATCCCGGCAGCTCCTCTTCCCATCTAGCTCCCTGCTTGTGGCCTGGGAGGATATTCTGGGGCCTTGGGACCATACACCCATGTGGGAGACCCAGAAGGTCCTGGCTCCTAATCAGGTCAGCTTTGGCTATTGTGGCCACTTGGGGAGTGACCCAGCAGATGGAAGATCTTTCTGTAAATCTGCCTTTCCAATAAAAATAAAATAAATCTTTTAAAAATTTAGGGGGCACTTTTCTGATTGCCTGCAACTCTCACTAGTGAGCATGACAACCAGGGCTGGGGGCGGGCTTGGCTAGACAGGCAGGGGACCCATCAGCATGAGCGCGGCCTGATAGAGGGATCAGTTTGGCTGAGCTAGGCTCCAGTGCTCATTGATGTGAACAAGATTTGAATAGGATGTAGGACAGAGTGCACCAGTCTGCTGCACTTACTGGCATGCATAGGAACCAGGACTGGGGGCAGGCCTAGTGGGGGCTATTAGGAGTTACTCCAACTAGCCTGCAGTTCCTTCTGGTGAATGTGAGGGCAGAGAATTTGGTGGGCTGGGTTGTGCTGTGCCACATCTATTGGCTTGCGTATGAGGCGGGGCTGGTGACAGAATTGACCAGGTGACTGCAACAACCAGTATATGTGTAGGCTGATGTATGATGGACTGAGCCAGACCCCAAACTGGCTGACACACACAGGAATCAGGTTGGGGTCTGAAGCCTGCAGAGTATGTTTAGTACCACAGAGGGCAGAACAAATTGGACAACTCTCCTGGCTAAGTATCTAAGTGAATTGAGACTCAAGGTGAATTATGTCAGCCAATGGACCTTGGAAAGATTTCCTAACCTTGGAGCAACTAAATCAACAACATCTCAGAACTATCAAAACCACTTAAGCGGTATCCTCAGAACATAGTCCACATCAGGAACCCTAGGATGACATTGGGTGGCTGTCCCCCATTCCTGGGTACTAATGTCGTTGGGTTGCTGGGAGCAGCCCTCTCCTCTTTTCTCTATATTTCCCTCAGATACCACAAGAAAATTATTTGAGGCAGCTATCTCATCCATTCTCCCATTCCTTGACCCTCCTCATCCTAATTGGTGGTCCACATGGGCATGTGTACCTCTCAACTCTAAACATCATTTAAACATCTATTATTACAAATAAAATAGGACCCAGCGTGGTAGTCTAGTGGTTAAAGCCGTCGCCTTTCATGCACCAGGATCCCATATGGGCACTGGTACATATCCTGGCTGCTCCACTACCCTTTCCAGCTCCCTGATTGTGGCTTGAGAAAGTAGTAGAGGAAGGCCCAAAGCCTTGGGACTCTGCACTGGGTGGGAGACCCGGAAGAAGCTCTTAGCTTCTGGCTTTGAATGGGCTCAGCTTCAGTCATTGCAGCTATTTGGGGAATGAACCAGTAGATGAATGATCTTTCTGTCTCTCCTTCTCTCTGTAAGTCTGAGTTTTCAATTAAAAAATACATCTTCAAAAGAAAAAGTAAAAATAAATTTTAAAAAGGGAAACTGCTTTGGTTCAATAATTGTGACATACATACATTAATGTAGTGTTAATAAAGGAAGCTGGGTGTGGTTTGTACATTATGGGAGATCTATCATAGTAATACAAGATGTTTACATTAGGGGAAGCTGAATGTGGGCTCTTTGGAAACTATTACTTCAGAAAACTAGTCTGAAACAAAAAATTTAAAAGTAGTTTTTATTTTATTTGATGCAGATCTGTAGTGATCCAAATCATGGAAGGGCTATCATGGTTTCATTTTTCACTTCTATCCTGGTACTATTATGGTGTATTTAAATTCTCACAATTTATAGTCTTGTATTTTTGTTTAGGATGGACAATCTTATTCAAAATTTCCTACATTCTTTATAAGACTGTCTTTCTCCATTTGCTGATAAGCAGGTACTTATCATGGTTAAGTTTTTCCATAAATAAGAACCTGAAGAAAATAATAATTCTGATGGCTAATATTAATGAGGAAAGTTACAGAATCCATACAAGTACCCTAATTGTGCTCATATTACCATATGTGTATCATATATGTGTATAAATGATCTGGGAAGAGTCAACTTGTTCACATAGTAGAGAAACTGAGGTCAGCATGTTGGTCAAAAAGAAGCACAGCTGAATCTACAATGTATAAACCTGCAAGTAACAGAACCCCACATTATCTCTGAATTGAAGGATAAACAAGGTGCACACATACAAAAGGTATCAGTAGGACTATTTATAATGGCAAAATGTCTAGCATTTGACAAAACAAAGGTTTGAAAAAGACAGGTGTATAATCTAAAGCCAATAAAATATTGACAGTGTATTGTACAGAAAAAGATATTAAAGCCTGGTTATAGTAATATCATAATTACACTTTCTTTCCAACATGAGATAAGTCATAAAGGGTTTGCTCCAAGTTTGACAGTGACTATCCATGATTGCCAAGACTAATGTAAGCATATCTATTTTTATGTTTTTAATCTACATTTTATGGATGGGAAGTTGTTTTGTAAAATGAAGAATATATTTATAAAAGAAAAATAAAACAATCTTTCAAAACAAAAGGTATAGACCCATCAGATAATGAAAGATACTTCAAAGCAACAGCTATCTACCATAAACAGGGCAACACAGTAACCAAATGGGTGCAATTTCAAAACTATTGAACTGCTACTCAAGCGTCATGAACAAAAATATAACTTACCATCAAATAGCCAAAGAAAACATGAAAGTAGATAGTTATTGAACAGTGAATGGTGTTCGGATGAGGACTGGGGATAGGAAATAACAGATTTTCAATAGTTAAATTTATTTCAAAATGGATCAGTAATTTTGTATAATACATACACAAAAAATTTAAAAATAAAAGTAGAAAAACTAACAAAATTAGCTTTCAATGCTTAAAGGAAAAATACAGTTAACATGTTTTTAAGAATGTTTAGTGTTTATAAGTAAGACTATTTTGAAAATAATAACAAAGGAGTGTAGATAATGATCTTCAAAGACTTTAGTTGGAGTGATTCTTTTCCTGTACAACTTTCTTAGCCTGATTAACACATGAAAAATAAGTACAGCATTTGCCCCTGAACTACATTTGAAGAGACTGTCATTGGTGTGATTCTTCTGTCATGTGTTGAAAGTCCTTTCTTAATCACCTAATTTCAGTTCATAAGTTTCAAATTCACGGAACAATGAGCTTTCTTATGTTGCTGAAATTTCTGAACATCTCTGAAAAGTCTTTCCATATTCCTTGCATTCATAAAGTTCCTCACCAGTGTGAACTGTCCGGTGTTGAGTAAGGCTCCAGATACCATGAAAAGCCTTCCCACATTCCTTACATTCATAAGATTTCTCACTAGTATGTATTCTCTGGTGCCTGTTAAGAGCTGAGCCACTATTAAAAGACTTTCCACATTGTTTACATTCATAGGGTTTTTCACCTGTATGAGTTAGCTGATGTTGGATAAGTTTTGAGCCACTACCAAAAGTCTTCCCACATTCCTTACATTCATAGGGTTTCACTCCAGTATGAATTCTCTGATGTTGTATAAGATCTGAACTACCACCAAAGGTCTTGCCACATTCCTTGCATTCATAAGGCTTTTCCCCAGTGTGCATTCTTTGGTGCTGAATGAGTTTTGAACCACTTCTAAAGGCTTTCTCACACTCCTTACACTCATAGGGTTTCTCACCAGTGTGAATTCTCTGATGCTGAGTGAGGTCTGAGCCACTATTAAAAGCCTTCCCACATTCCTTACACATGTAAGGTTTCTCACCAGTGTGAATTCTTTGATGACGAGTCAGGGCTGATCCAAAACTAAAGGTCTTCCCACATTCATTACATATATATGGTTTTTCTCCGGTATGAATTCTCTGATGCCGAGTGAGAGCTGAACCACTACTAAATGCCATGCCGCATGATTTACATACATAAGGTTTCTCACCAGTATGAATCCTCCGATGCTGAGTAAGGTTGGAACCACTGCCAAAAGCTTTCCCACAATCTTTGCATTCATAAGGTTTCTCACCTGTGTGAATCCTTTGATGCCGGGTGAGGGCTGATTCAAAATTGAATGACTTCCCACACTCCTTACATTCATACGGCTTTTCACCACTGTGAATGATCTGATGTCGAATAAGGCCTGATCCAAAACTAAAGGCTTTCCCACAATCCTTACATTCATAGGGTTTCTCACCAGTATGAATTCTTTGATGATGGGTAAGGTTGGAGCCACTACCAAAGGCTTTGCCACACTCCTTACATGCATAAGGCTTCTCACCAGTGTGAATTCGCTGATGGTAAGCAAGGTTTGCACCACTACCAAAAGCCTTGCCACATTCTTTACACTTATAAGGTTTCTCACCAGTATGAATTCGCTGATGTCGAATAAGGACTGACACAAAACTAAAATCCTTCCCACATTCTTTACATTCAAGGAGTTTCTCTTCACTATGATCGGTCTGATGCTGGGTCCTGAAAGTGGACATGTCTTCAGTAAGTATCATTTGACTGAAATGTCCTTCCTGAGGTATCTCTTTTCTCTCAAACTGGCTTTTACATTCCCAATCGCCTCTGAAACTTGAACACTCAATGTTGTGTTTTGTAAGTCTTTCCATTATCTCCCTCCAGGATGATTCCATAAATATCCTTTCTTTTCAGAAATAATTTCTTGTTCTCAACCTTGACTCATAGTCTGAAAGAAAATATAACAGCAAACATTCACTTTTTTTGTGTTCTGAAAGAAATGAAACTTTTATCGTAGATATGAAAGATGTGATTGAAATTAACTCTCATAAAAAGTGAGTGACTTATACAGGACTCAAATTTGATTGGGCAATTTGAGAAGCCGATAAGGATAACAGAACAAGAAAATGTCCCATTGTAAAAGGAGATATTTAGGAAAACAGATTAGGCCAATTATTCCTAAACAATGATTTAGATAAAATGTCTGTAGATTTTTTTATTTTTTTATTGGAAAGGCAGATATACAGAGAGGAGAGACAGAGAGGAAGATCTTCCGTCCCATGATTCACTCCCCAAGTGAGCACAACGGCTGATGTTATGCCGATTCGAAGCCAGGAGCCTCCTCCGGGTCTCCCACACAGGTGCAGGGTCCCAAAGCTTTGGGCCGTCCTCGACTGCTTTCCCAGGCCACAAGCATGGAGCTGGAAGGGAAGCGGGGCTGCTGGGATTAGAACCGGCGCCCATATGGGATCCCGGGCGTGCAAGGCGAGGACCTCAACCACTGTGCCATCGCCCGTCTGAAGATTTAGAGAGCTTCATAGATATACAGATGTCTTTTTCCCACCTGATTTTTTTTTTAGAGGATGAATGCAGTTTCACATACACTTATGTGTTATCAGGATCACAATTTCATAAGTTTCACTGGAAAAATAAACAAATATACTCTAGAGGAAAAAAGCCAGGAAAGATGGTCAAATAACAGAATTTGCATATAACCTCCATGAGGCAGAAAGGTATGTAGCAGGTTTCATATGAGAAACTAATGTGTTGAGTATAGAATGAATAATGGGGAAAGGAATATTCTGCATTAAAAACAAAATTTGTTTATATCATTTGAATAAAAGCTAGATTTTCTTATAAAATCTGAATTAACCTCACAGGAAAGAAAAAAGGGTAGTAGAATAATTAACAATGTACCTTTAAATCCTAGAGAAGTGACGAGAATAAAGGGGTTACTTCAATATTATCAAAGATTGCAAGAATGAAAACAAATGAAGACACCGAATTTCAGCTCTGGTAATCAAAGAGTGATTCTGAAATCTCATATAAGATAACCTTGGACCCCATATGGGATCCCGGCACGTTGAAGGTGACGACTTTAGTCATGAGGCCACGCCGACGGGCCCTGGATTGTAATCTTAAGGTAGTGCATTTTCAAGGTCTGTGGGCATCGTAGCAGGTAACTAATCCTAAAAGGAAGTGAACACGGAACGCCCTCGTTTTACAGCCAGTTGGTCTGAAGCAGCAGGACGTTTACCGAGGACCAGCGGGCTCCTAACTGAGGTCTGACACTAGTTTGGTGCTGGACTGGGATTTGAATGCATCAGATGGGATTAAGATAGCATGCAATCTTCACAGACTGGAAAACAACATTAATAAAACAGCAGTGTTCCCCAATTTGCATCAAGACTTTAGTGGCCTTCAGAGAAATGACAAAGCCAACTGTCAAATTCATATGGGACTGGAATGAGTCCTCAAAAGCCAAAATAATATTGAAAAAGAAAAACCAGGTAAGCTCACTTTTCCCACCTCAAACTTATTAACACAAATCTAAGGTAATCAAAATAGTGAGATACTGTTTTAACAACAGAAATATACATCAATGAAATAGAACTAGGGCGGAGTCAGGGTAAGTCTGAGCAGTGGCACGGGTGTCTGGATCCCCAAGCCATGGGGGTACCCGTGTTGGCCCAGGCTTCCTGCATGGGATCCTAACTTCCCATCCACTGCTGCTAGGCACAGGGAGTGTCCTGGGCTCATGGGGGGGCAGAGCGCCAACTGGCGTCAGGCTTCATCTGCTGGCTGCCCAGTGGCAAGCCTGGGGGTCGTGGGGGTACAGAATTACTGCCTAGAGATCTCCATGGATAAGGCCATTGTATGTGTAGGTGAGGAATGAATCCTGAGGGACACCCAACGACAGAGCCACTGTACTTGCAGGTAAATGAGGGGACTGAGACCTGGTAGTTTGGAAGGGAGAGGCCTGAAGATCTCTCTGGGTCAGACTGATGCAGCAGCTCACATTCGAGTCCTGGGTTGGGCCTGTTAGCATGGAGCATGGCTGACTACCACACGCCAGTGCACATGCAAGCTATGGCTGTGGGCCTGTCTGGCAGTGAACACCTAGGCAAACGGAGACTCTAAGGTGGACTACGTCAGCCAGTGGAATCTGGAGAGATTTCATCATGATTGGAGTGGCAAGATTTGCAGCAATACAGAACTCAAAATCACTTCAGCAGTACCCTCGGAGCATGCCACACATCAAGGACCCTGGGGTGGCCGGGAGGCTGGGTGTAGTATCTCCTTTTGTCTCCCAATTTCCCCCCAGATACAGGAAGGAAAAAAGAGAATGTCAAAACAATGGTTTCACCCACTTTCTTCTAGCCCTTGACCATTTGTACCTTACTCAAATATGTAAAAATTATGAAAAAGAAAATTTATCCAACTAAAAAAAAAAACCTTGGGACCCTGCACCCGCGTGGGAGACCTGGAAAAGCTCTGGCTCTTGGATTCAGATTGGCTCAGCTCTGGCTGCTTTTCATGAACTCCAACAAGATGATTCTACAACTCAATATGCAACACTAAATGATCAAGACACTCCTTAAAAATAAACTGAAGAGATTTGCTTGATCAGATATGACTTATTATAAAACAAATAATTAATTGACTAAAGCACTGGCACAGCAATAGAAAAATAAAATATGGCACATAACAAAAAGCCATAAATATATTCATATGGGCCTGGAGGTGTTGCCTAGCGGCTAAAGTCCTCACCTTGAATGCGCCAGTATCCCATATGGGCACCGGTTCTAATCCCGGCAGATCCACTTCCCATCCAGCTCCCTGCTTGTGGCCTGGGAAAACAGTCAAGGACGGCCCAAAGCTTTTGGACCCTGCACCTGTGTGGGAGACCCAGGAGAAGATCCTGGATTTTGGCTTCGAATCGGCATAACATCAGCCGTTGTGCTCACTTGGGGAGTGAATAATCGGACGAAAGACCTTCCTCTCTGTCTCTCCTCCTCTCTGTATATCTGATTTTCCAATAAATAAATAAATCTTTAAAAAAAAAAGAAATATGAATTAGGACATCTGGTTGGGATCCAGATGAAACTGACAAAGAAGACACTTGGAATTCTCTTACCAGGAATAACTGGCAGTGTGGTATTTAACAGACTAATTTCTGAGTGAAAACCCTAACATCACCAGGACTAGCATCTTCAAAGGGGGTGATCATCCCCCCCAACCCATTAGAATCCTTCTGTAGCCACTAGATTTATGCAGATCCAATCTCAGCATGATACAGGGGGCACGCATACTGTGTGACCCATGAAGATAAAACTTCCTTACTGTATTAATTTGTTAGCTCTGTAATAACATATATACAGGTAGGCTTATACAGGCTTATACAATGGACATTTGTCCGCTCAAGATCCTAAATATCCACAGATCTGGTTTCTTCTGGGGCCTCCTTCCTTGGTTGGCAGATGGTCACCTGTTGTTGCCTGCATGTGAGCAACCTTGATATTTTTTCATGTGTCCAAATTTTTCTTTTTCTTTTAAAGACCCTAGGACTTGAGCCATACTCTATTGCTTTCCCAGGCCACACACAAGGAGATAGATTAAGTACAGCAGCCGGCACTTGAACCGGTGCTAACATGGATAGCTGGTGTTGCAGGTGGAGGACTAACTTGTTGAACCACTGCGCCAGCACCCTAATTTTTTTTTTTTCTTGTAAGAATATTAGTCAGATTGGGTCAGAGCTCATTTAAATATGCTCACTTTACATTAACCATCCCTTCAAAGGCCTTATTTCCAAAGACAGTCACATTCTAAAGTGCTGAGGTTGATGTTCTTCAACACACAAATTTCAAAGTACACAATTTAGACCCTGACACTAACCAAACAAGGAACAAAATGTCACTGCTGTAGCTGTACTTTTTGTATTATTGTAACAAAATAATACTACATTGAAACATAATTTCAACATATCAATTCTTGTTCTAGGGATTTTACATGAACCAACTCCCTCTTGGGACCAACCCTATTATATGAGCACTTTCTATCATATATCCCATCTTTTGGTTGTCAGTTGTGACCCTCTTTATATAGATATATTTTAAGCAATAAAACAAGATCTAACACACACTTACATGTGTACATATTTAAATGCATACAACAAAAGCTGAAAAAGCACTGATTTTCAGCTAAACTTGAAAAGACTGAGGGACTGTAGTCACATGGACTTCAGCCTATGTAGAAGAAATGAATCATTTTCACACACAAAAAAAACATGAATTACCTATCTAATTATAATTTGGGTAAAAAAATAAAAACACACTAGGAATGTATATTATTTATGTCAATAATTTATACTAAACTACAGTCAACATAAGGGGTTTGATAAAATGGTAATACCAAAAAGCCATGACAACTCAAAACAAAGATACATGTTAATGACAAAGGCAGTTGTTGAATCATATTTTGGCAAGATAAAGCCTAGTAATAGGATAGTAGCCACAGAATGATCTCATTAAAAAGAATTGTATTTATGCTAATGACTTGACAGCAGTTATCTTTAAATCACAAAATTACAGTAACTTTTATTTTTTCCTTAAGTTTTCTGTAACTGCCAGGGGCTTGGAGGAGTGCCTGCTGAGACCGAGAAGCAGGCCCTGAACCCTGGAGTGCCTTCGGTCTTCTGGAAGGTCCTGAGACAAGC